TTGTGTTTTTGATCTTAGCCATTCTGACAGGTGTAAAATGTAATCTCAAAGTCGTTTTGATTTGCATGTCCCAGATGGTTAAAGATATTGAGTATTTCTTTAAGTATTTCTTGGCCATTTGAGTTTCCTCTGTTGAGAATTTTCTGTTTAGATGTGTACCCCATTTTTTAATTAGATTATTTAATTTGTTGATGTCTATTTTCTTGAGTTCTTTATATATTTTGAATATTAGCCCTCTGTCAGATGTGGAGGTGGTGAAAATCTTTTCCCACTCTATGGGCTACCATTTTGTCCTATTGGACGGTGTACTTTGATTTACAGAAGCTTTTCAGTTTCATGAAGTCCCATTTATTAATTTTTGATCTTAGTACGTGTGCTATTGGTGTTCTGTTCAGGAAGTTGTCTCCTGTGCCAATTCATTCAGAACTGTTCCTTACTTCTCTTTTGTCAGGCTCAGTGTATCTGGTTTTCTGTTGAGCTCTTTGATCCTTGGACTTGAGTTTTGTGCATGGCGATAAATATCGATCTATTTGCATTCTTCAACATACCAACATCCAGTTAGACCAGCACCATTTGTTGACAATGCTTTCTTTTTTCCATTGTATATTTCTGGTTTCTTTATCAAAAATCAAGGGTCTACCAGGTAGTGGTGAAACATGTCTTTAATCCCAGCACTCGGGAGGCAGAGGCAGATGGATCTCTGAGTTCGAGGCCAACCTGGTCTACAGGGCAAGTTCCAGGACAGCCAGAGCTACACACAGAGAAACCCTGTCTTGTATATAAAAAAAAAAAGTCAGGTGTCCATAGATGTGTGAATTTACATCGAGGTCTTCACTTCAACTCCATGATCAATGTGTCTGTTGTTATGCCAATACCACACAGTTTTTATTACTACAGTGTTGAAGTACAGCTTGAAATCAGGGATGGTGATACCCCCAGAAATTCTTATATTGTATAGGATTTTTTCTTAGCTCTCCTGGGTTTTTGTTTTTCCATATGAAATTGAGTATTGTTCTGTCAAAATCTATAAAGAATTGTGTTGAATTTTGATGAGAATTGCATTGAATCTGTAGATTGTTTTTGGCAGGATGGCCATTTTTACTATGTTAATCCTACTGATCCATGAGCATGGGAGATCTTTCCATCTTCTGATATCTTCTTCAATTTCCTTCTTCAAGGACTTGAAGTTTTATAATACAGGTCTTTCACTTGCTTGAGTATAACTGGAGTTACCCCAAGATATTTTATATTATTTGTGGCTATTGTGAAGGGTGTTGTTTCCCTAATTTCTTTCTCAGCCCATTTGTCATTTGTATGTAGGAGGGCTACTGATTTTTTTTTTTTTTTAGTTACTCTTGTATCCTGCCGCTTCACTGAAGATGTTTATCAGCTGTAGGAGTTTTCTGGTAGAATTTGTGAAATCACTTATGTATACTACCATATTATCTACAAATAGCAATACTTTGACTTCTTCCTTTCCAATTTGTATCCACTTAATCTTCTTCAGTTGTCTTATTGCTCTAGCTAGAACTTCAAATACTATATTGAAGAGATATGAAGAGAGTGGACAGCCTTGTCTTGTTACTGATTTTAGTGGAATTGCTTTGGGCTTCTCTCCAAATTTGATGTTGGCTATCAGCTTGCTGTAAATTGCCTTTATTATGTTTAGGTATGTCCCTTGTATCTCTGATCTCTCCAAGACTTTTATCATGAAGGAGTATTAGATTTTGTCAAAGGCTCTTTCAACATCTAATGAGATGATCATCTGTTTTTTTTTTTGTTTTGTTTTGTTTTGTTTTGTTTCAGCTTGTTTATATGGTGGATTACATTGACAGATTTTCGAATGCTGACCCATCCCTGCATTTCTCTGGGATGAAGCCTACTTGATCATGGTGGATGATCTTTTAGATATGTTCTTGAATTGGTTTGCAAGGATTTGGTTTGGCAGTATTTTACTGAGTATTTTTGCATCAATGTTCATGAGAGAAATTGGTGTGTAATTGTATTTCTTTCTTGAATCTTTTGTAGTTTGGGTATCAGGGTGACTATGGCCTCATAAAATGAATTTGGCAATGTTCCTTCTGTTTTGTATTTTGCAGAATAATTTGAGGAGTATTGGTATTAGGTCTTCTTTGAATATCTGACAGAATTGTATGCTAAAACCGTCTGGCCCTGGTTTTTTGTTTTTGTTTTTGTTTTGTTTTGTTTTGTTTTGTTTTTGGTGGGGAGACTTTTAATGACTGCTTCTATTTCCTTAGAGGTTATAGGTCTATTTAAATTGTTTATCTGATCTTGATTTAACTTTGGTAAGTGGCATCTATTAAGAAAATTGTCCATTTCTTTTAGATTCTCCAATTTTGTGGAGTGCAGATTTTTAAGTATGACCTGATGATTTTCTGGGTTTCCTCATGTCTGTTGTTATATCCCCCTTTTGTTTCTTTTTGTTAATTTGGATATTCTCTCTCTGCCTTTTAGTTAGTTTGGATAAGGGTTTGTCAGTCTTGTCGATTTTTCTCAAAGAACCAATTCTTTGTTTCGTTGATTCTTTGTATTGTTCTCTTTGTTTCTATTTTATTGATTTCAGCCCTGAGTTTGATTATTTCCTGCTGTCTACTCCTCTTGGCTGTGTTTGCTTCCTTCTGTTCTAGAGTGTTGAGGTGTGCAGGGAAGTTGCTGTTATGTATGAGATCTCTGCAATTTCTTTGTGGAGGAACTTAGTGCTATGAACTTTCCTCTTAGCACTGCTTTTATTGTGTCCCATAAGTTTGGTATGTTGTGTATTCATTTTCATTGAATTCTAGGAAGTCTTTCATTTTCTTTGTTTCTGCCTTGACCCAGCAGTCATTCAGTAGAGAGTTGTTGAGTTCCCATGAGTTTACAGGCTTTCTGTTGTTTCTGTTGTTGTTGATATCCAGCTTTAATCCGTGGTGGTCTGATAGGATACAGGGGGTTACTTCAGTTTTTCTGTATCTGTTGAGACTTGTAGGTGGTCAATTTTGGAGAATGTTCCATGAGGTGCTGAGAAGATGGTATATTCTTTTGTGTTTGAGTGAAGTATTCTGTAGATAGCTGTTAGATCCATTGATTCATAATGTCTGTTAGCTCCATTATTTCTCGGTTGGGGTGTTGAAGTCTCCCATTATCACTCTGCAATGCTCCATGTGTGATTTAAACTTTAGTTATGTTTCTTTTACAAATATAGGTGCCATTGCATTTGGGGCATAGATGTTGAGAAGTGAAACATGGGTGAATTTTCCCTTTGATTAGTATGAAATGTCCTTCTCCATCTCTTTTGATTAATTTTGATTGGAAGTCTATTTTGTTAAGTATTAGGATAGCTACACTAGCTTGCTTCTTAGTTCCATTTGCTTGGAAAATATTTTTCCAACCCTTTACTCTGAGGTAATGTCTATCTTTGTTGTTAAGGTGTGTTTCTTGTATGCAGCAGAAGGATGCATTTTATATCCATTCTGTTATCCTGTGATTTTTTTAATGATACTACTGAGTCCATTGATACTAAGAGATATTAATGACCAATGATTATTAATTTCTGTTATTTTGTTGTTGTTGTTGGTGGTGGTGGTGGTGGTGGTGGTGTGTATGTGTGTGTTTCCCTCCTTTCAGTTTTGCTGGTGTGAGATTATCTAGTGCCTATGTTTTCATGGGTGTAGTTAACTTCCTTCAGTTGGAGTTTTCCTTCTAGTACCTGGGTTTGTGGATAGATATTGTTTAAACTTAACTTTGTCATGTAATATCTTGTTTTCTCCATCTATGGTGATTGAAAGTTTTGCTGGGTATAATAGTGTGGGCTGGCAACCATGGTCTCTTAGAGTCTGCAAGACATCTGTTCAAGCCTTTCTGGCTTTTAGACCCTGTGTTGAGAAGTTGAGTATAATTCTAATAGGTCTGCCTTTATATGTTACTTTGCCTTTTTCCCTTGCAGTTTTTAATACTCTTCCTTTGTTGTGCATGTTTAGTGTTTTGATTATATGGCTTGCAGACTTTCTTTTCTGATGCAATCTATTTGGTGTTCTGTAAGCGTCTTGTAATTTTATAGTTATCTCCTTCTTTAGATTAGGAAAATTTTTCTTCTATAATTTTGTTAAACATATTTTCTAGGTTTTTGAGTTGAGATTCTTCTCCTTCTTCTATTACTATTATTCTTATGTTTGGTCTTTTCATAGTGTCCCAGATTTCCTTGATGTTTTGTGTAAGAAGTTTTTTAGATTTAACATTTTCTTTGACTGGTGAATCTATTTTGCTATCATATCTTCAACACCTGAGATTCTCTCTCATCTCTTGTATTCTGTTGGTGATGCTTGGGTCTGTAGTTCCTGTTTGCTTACCCAGATTTTCCATGTTCAGAATTCCCTCAGTTTGTGTTTTCTTTATTGCTTCTATTTCAATTTTTCAGGTCTTAAATAGTTTCCTTTACCCATTTGTTTTTTTTCTTGGCTTTCTTGGCATTCTTTAAGGAATTTATTGATTTCTTCCAACTTTTTGGTTGTCTTTTCCTCAATTTCTTTTTTTTTTTTTTTAACTCTTTCACAACTGAGACTTTATTGGTTGAGTACACAGACATTTCAATTCTTAAAACATGGACCCAAACTCTAAGAGTCATACAATGTATTCACGTACCCAGAAGAGCCATGTGTTGTTTCTCTTTGAACTTATTCCAGTGATGTTCCATCCTAGACTTGGCAAGTTTTCCATAAGACCTCACATAACAATCAAATGCTCACAATCCTTAATTCCACTGACTCACAATTTTATGCCACATACAGTACATATTCAAAATTTCAATCTTTCACAGCACATTATCACAATTGTTAGGAAAATGGACTGCCATGACCAGAGACAGTTTGACAGGGCAAGGACCGAGGAGTGGTTTTTTAGGATACAGTTCTACTAGAAACACGAGACCAGAAATAACTGAAAATATTCCAGACACAAATGCATGACCAGGACTCCAAGTATGCTTTGTGTTGTAGGATATAAAACTAGCCCCCTCTACAGAATGTTATGGTGACCCCCGAGACAGTCACAGCCTCTCCTGATTCAGTATCCTGCTCTTTTCTGGTTGTACCAAAAAATAAACAACCAGCAAGTGATTTAACCTCTTAAAAAAATCATTTACACTTAAAAAATGGGATGAGGCGGGACTTCTTCCCACCTTTTAAAAATGTTTCTAGAGCTACTAAAAAACTCGCATTTACAAAATAGTTGATAAAAATATTCCTCTGGATTGTACAAGAAGGAAGGCGGGGACACTGACAGACACGATGGATGGTTAGTCGGACTTGGTTTCTTTCTCTTCAACTTCAGAGGCTGGACTCTGGTTCTCAGCCTCTCCGTTCTCTGCAGGCACGTCTGTGGTCTGCTGGTCAGTCACCTCCGCCTGTTTGCCCTTTGCTCCCCTCTTCCCTTTGGTTTGCACTTTTTTGTCTGATGGTTTATCCTTGCCCGCGGCCTTCTTGGGCTTCGCGTCCACCTTGGCAGGGGCGGGCTTGGCCGACAGCCTCGCGGAGCGCCGCTTGGGCTCCGCCTTGGCCGCTCCGTCCGCGCTAACCTTCCTCTTGGGCATCTTGGCGGCGCTAGGTGGGAGGCGCGTGTGAGGCCGAACCCGTCACGGAGCTACGCCGCCTCGGCCGCCACCGCACGAACTCCTTTTCCTCAATTTCTTTAATGGAGTTTTTTATTTCCTCCTTAAGGACCTCTATCATCTTCATAAAGTTGTTTTTAAGGCATTTTTCCTGTGCTTCAGCTGAGTTGGGATAGCTAGGTCTTGCTATAGTAGGATAGCTGGGGTCTGGTGGTGCCATATTACCCTGGCTGTTGTTGATTGTATTCTTATACTGGCATTTAGGCATCTGGCTCTGGGTTGATTATAGCTAGGTCCTGATTTCTGAGTTTATCTTTGTTGGATGGGTGTTTTGTTCCTTGGTTTCTGTTTCATCTTTGGTCTTTTAGTCTTTGTGGCCTGGATTTCTGGCAGCTTGTATGACCTCTGATCAAGTTGGGAGCAGACCTTCTCCAGGTTAGCTTGGCCTTTGGTGCAGCAGGGGTCTCTGCTCTCTGTTCTTCTGACTGGTGTGGCTTGTCCAGAAGTCCCCCGGGTGGAGTCAGGGCCTGGCCTCAGGGTTGGTGATGAGGTAGGAGGGTGGTTGGTGGAATGGGTCTTTGGGAACAGAACCTAGGGAGTGGGGCAGTTCAGCTGGCAGGAGGGTCACTCACCTGTTCTTCTGACTGCTGTGGCCTTCAAATTAATGTTTTTAAAGGTTACTATTATATAAAAAAGGACCCCAGTGACCTTTGGTTCCCATTTCTTTGGAACTCTACTAAAGTCTCTAAAATAAGAATCTGTTGACTATCGGAAGCATGCAGAGTGCAGTATTACAGTCATCCATGTTATGCGAGCCAGGGTCCACACAGCGTAGAGTCACAGGAGTTACCCATTGAAAAAGAAATGTGTCAAAGGGAAGTCCTAGAACAATTAGTGATAGTTGATAATGGATGTTTGTTGCGAAGAGTTCAAAGTCCCAAAATGCCACCGGGTTGACCATTTTCAGTGAAGTTCAAGGGATAATGGGGAGACATACTCTTGAAATTGCAATTTTTGAAAAACCACCTTAGGTAACATGTAGAGCCCGGAAGAAACCAAAAAAGAAAAAAAGCCAACTATTCAAACTGGAGGCGTCTGAGAGTTCTGATTGGCACATTTTCTCCCTCAGGTTCTTTTCACAAGAGCCCAGTGAGTGGGCGAGTCTCTCTCCAGTCATTGTTCACAACACTGTCTCTTAACAGAGCAGGTGATGTCTACCAGTGCTGCTACACTGGGGCAGGCCTGATTTAACACACACACACACACACACACACACACACACACACACACACACACGCACACACACACACGCACACGCACACACACACACACACACACACACACACATGCACACACACACGCACACACATACACCCTTTCTTCCTGTGAGTCTCTCGAATGTTCCACTGCATTTCTGAATGTTGACTGGTGTAACTTTTTCATAGACCGGCGAAGTGAGGGACACCTAAGAGGGTTGTCAGGACCCAGAGCACTCAGCCACAGATCCAGGCAGCGTTCTCTGCTTATGTGACCCTTCTCCAAAATCAGTTCACCGTTCATAGAGCACAACCAAAGAAGCCTCTGATTCAATGCCATAAATTCTCCAAACCCACTTTTATAGCCACATCATGAGCAGAAAGTAGATAGATGGGAAACTTCAAGATGGATTTCTGTCACCAGACATTGCAGAGGTGGCTGAGTTCTGACTTTATATATGTTTTTTATTTGATTTAGTTGCCAACACTCAAAATTTGAGATATTTCTCAGAAATATACAGGTGATGGTATTTTAGAGCCAAAATTCTTGCACATCAGCAACTCTCTCGGCTGGAACTGAGTGGTACTTGTCACCTTTACAAGAGAAGGACACTCTCCTATTGGTTACACACACACACCACACACACACACACACACACACACACACACACACACACCTCTGCATCCAGCCCCCAAAGCATTCAAGTTTACAGTTTCTGCTTCACACATTAACTTTAGATCTTCTCAATAATCCCCATGCACTTTATTTTTAACGACATATAACTTGTTACTTTATGGCATATATCTTAAAACTTGTTTCTTGGCCCTTACATTCTCATGTGTTTTTACGGCAGAACAGCTCCCCATTTCTCACACTGATACACAGAGCCTCCACCCATAATTGGTTTCTGTTACTCCATTTACTTGGATGTCTCCTTTATCTACAGGTTGGTAAAGCTACCTCTGGAAGATGGGTCACTCGTAAATGAAACAGATGTGCTTTTCCCCACCTCGCTGCGAAAAGATCTCATTTATGGGCCTGTACTGCCACTGTCAGCCATTGCCGGGCTGGTGGGAGAAGAGGCAGAGACGTTCAGGGTAATTTTCTTGCTTGCTCCAGGGCTGTAGTCTTGGAAGTGAGGTCTCGTTTAATTATGAGACAGCTGGGAATGGAGGACCATCCTGATTGTTACTGCATTACCTAAGAAGCCAAGACTCCATATGCCTGAGTCTGGACAATCAGGAAGATGGTAGCAGGCACCAGGTACCCAGATGTGATCCACAGTTTTGTTGAGAGACTGGGAAGCATCCAAGTAGAGCTGCAGGGTGGGAGTTGGCAAGTGTCGGGGATGAAGTGGCAGGGATGGAGATGCAGATGTTAGTGTGGCTCTCACAGGCAGCAGCTGGAAGCAAAGGGGAGATGCTGGGGACTAAGCTGAGAAAGCCTGAGGGATGAGAACAGGGATGGAGAAGAGGGCACTGCCAACTTCAGGAGGAGGAGGGGGTATCTGCAAGAAGGCCCAGCCCTGAGTACAAGTGAAGGCAGGGGAGAGGAACACGGTGGTGGGGCGGGGGAGAGGGGGGAGGGAGATGTTAAAATGAGAGAATTTGTCAACAGCTTCACGTTCATATCCCCCGCCCCCCCCCCCCCCAGCTTGCTTTTCACACATTTACACAAGCTCCTTCCACGTGGTAGACCCTCTTTCTGGCAGCAGGACCACCTGGTGACCAAGCCACAAGGACCTTGTCAGAGGAAGCAGAGGAACAGAGAGAGAGAGAGAGAGAGAGAGAGAGAGAGAGAGAGAGAGAGAGAGAGAGAGAGAGAGAGAGAGAGAGAGAGAGAGAGAGATTAACTCACTACACAGGGTGATAATTGTGACCGCAGGGTGAGGGGGCAAGGCAGGGATGGCCATACAGTTGAGCCTCTTTCTTGAGACTTGAAGCACAAGGAGCAGTTACAAGCAGAAGAGCTGTTTCAGGTCCAGGGACAGCATGTCCAGAGGCCCTGGGGTGAGGAGACAGTGAGCAGGTTTGAGAGGCTGCAATGAATGAGGGTAAAAATGCTAGATGTGGTTCAGAATGATGCTCAGGAGGGAGACAGAGCAAGAAAGTCACAGGGCAAGGCATTTGGGATGAAGATGAGGAGCACGAGTGCCCTAGGCCACAGGGGCCTGTTACACCGATGTCCCATGAAGCAGCTAAGCAAAGGATAAAGGGCGGATGTGTGCCCGAGAGAAACGGTACTGCCAAAAGTGAATCAATGGGCGTTAGAAGTAACTCACAGTGAGAAACTCGATGATCGTGCAATGTCTGCGGCGGACAGACAAGAGAAAAGACCCATGTTCATAACATGTCTTCTAACAAATGGCAGTAATTCACTTTTGTAAATTAGGAAGCGCAGCTAATTCTTGTCTGGTCTAGGTTCTGGGGGATGCATCACCCACTCTCAGCCACAAGAGGGCAGCAAAATAAAAAAGGCATCCAATCAGCGGTTATTTGGTGCCTGAAACCACCCAATCTCTCTGTTTTTCTCTGTCTCTTTCTGTTTTTCTCTCTCCTTGTCTCTCCCTCTCTCCCCCTCCCCTCCCTTCATTCTCCCTCTCCCTCCCACCCTCCCTCCCTTTCTTTCTAGTCCTCTCTCCCCCTCTCCCCACCTTCAGTAAATGTGTAGAGTCCTATTTCATACTTCACACTAAATAACGAGTCCAACATAAAACATTTAAAATGCAGGCAACTGTCTTTTGCCTTTGGAAGATGCTGTGAGACACTTCATTTAAACGCCTCTGGGTAGTGGCCATGGTCAAGTGTGAGTCCTGGGGGCAGCCGTGTGCACCCGTCAGCCAGCATATGGGACCTAATCAGGAGCTCTAGCTTCGGTGAGAGTCCGGGTCTGAAGAAGTAAGGTGAAGGGGCATAAGACACCCGCTGTTGACCTCTCGCCTCTAAGAGTGCACATCTGCACCTCCACACATACACACACAGAGGGAAAAAGTGAATGCCTAGACATGGAGTTGCTGTGTTAAACAAGGCTCATAAACAAACTAAATAGCTTCATTTCCTGGGGCCTTCTGCTCTGTGTGTTCTCACCATTTTCTGAAAGTAGAAATTTAATGCTGCAGTGTTAAAACTCTGTCATTTAGATGGCACATTACACAGAGTTTAACTTAGAAATCTAATTTCCCAGTAGCTTGCCCTTCCGTTTTACACACACACACACACACACACACACACACACACACACACACACACACACACACGAGTGAGTAAAGTAGATAAAACATTGATTAGTTATTGTCCAATGAGAAGTACAGGAAAAGGTTATCTCTCAAATGCTTCAATTTCCTTCCTTTGAATGTCATTTCTCTGTTGTTTTTTTTCCACAAATCCACTTTATTTATTTACTTTTCATTAGTTTAAATCCAGGAAGGGTACAGCATCACACAGATTCTGTGTCCAGTGGGCTTTGCAGGAAGGTGGTTCAGAATTTGGCACAAACCCTGCCGCTGTTCCCACGGGCCCGAGTCATTTTTCCCCGGATCGCTCTGGCTTTGTTTGCCTTGCCTCCAGGTGTCTAGTCATGCTGTTTTTTGCTTTATACGCATAAGCACATCTCTTGCCCAAGTAGAATTCTGTTTCATCTCAAACATAAACACCTTCAATTTTAAGAAAAACTGTATGCTCTCTCTGGTTCCAGAGACCTTGCACCTCAGCCTTCCAGACGTATTTGCCTTTTAGAAGTCCTGTTCCCAGCAGGCCCCAGGAATCTCCATCTCTGTTTTCTTAAATATTTTTGAATTTTTGTTCATTTTTATATCCTGTGTGAGTGTTTTATCTGCATGTATGCCTGTACCATGTGCGTGCCTAGCGCTCAAGGAGGCCAAAAGAGGGTGTCCAGTCCCCTGGAACTGGACTTACAGACATGTGTGAGCTGCCATGTAGGCCCTGGGAACTGATCCCAGGTCCTCTGGAAGAGCAGCCAGTGCTCGTAACTGCTGAGCCATCTCTCCAGCCCCAGGAATGTCATTTCTTGTGACCTGGGTACTAATGGCAAAGAAATCAATGATGATTTGATCTATCTAAGAGTCCCAAAAGTTGGCAAGCTGGGGACTTTTACAAGATTACAGACATTCAATAATCCCATTTTCGTTTTTTGTAGCTACTGCTAGATCGGCACATCGCAGGCCTTTAAATAGGCCCGATACACGTTATGCAAGTTATTCGGGGCAGTAGAAACTTATCCAGTTGTGTGTGGGGAAAATCAAAAGCAGACATTACCTGGGCAGAAACCAAACCCAACATAATGAATTTAAGCACAAGGGTCCAGTTTCCTTGTTCCATCAACCTTTAAAAGTCATACACACAATTCAGTAAGTAAGAATCTCTTTGATAAGCTCAAATATTCTTCAACATCTTTGTGTTTTTCCAGCTTTTTATTCAGTGTAAAGTTGGAGTCCCATTTTCCATTTTAGTCTGGAAGTGACCAGAATGTGGCAAGTGTGATCCCAGAGGACTAGGAAAGGAGGCTGAGTTGGCCAATGTTCTTAGACACAATTACAATACAGAACTAAAAGTCATGACATCGACTCATACAATCCATGTGCCCCCACATTTATTCTTAAATAACCAACTACATTATTAAAATAATACAAAATCAAACCTGCGAAAAAATGAAAAAGAAAAAAAAATATCTAATTGTAGTTTAACTTTCCTCAGCCAGAAAATTCCCAGGTCTTAATCCTCACATCCGTTTCATACACAGATCCACTGGGATTGGGGTACTGGTGGCATTTGTTTTGGAGAGTTGAAGGTGTCTTTTTTTAAAAGATTTTGCAAGCAGGACACTAGTGTACTTTACCAGCATTGGGGAGACAGAAGCAGGTAGATCAAAAGTTCCAGGCTAGCCTGGGCTACATAGTGAGATCCTATCTCAAAATAAATAAGTAAATAAAATGTTAAGTACACTTAACTGTGCCAAATTAGAGTCTTTTCTATGATTTCTTCCATCAGATGTCATCAGAGCCACTCAAG